GGGGTGGACTGGACGACTCTCGGGACAAAGAATCGCAGGAAAGTAGAATTCTTTTTTATTGTGAAGAGTTTTATCCCCAAAAATCTCTTGGCCCTTCTTATGGCTCACGTCGTTGTTGATTCCTCCTCATTCACCGACAAGCATCCAGCGCTAGGCCCTTGTCGGTATTCAGTACACGCAGCATTTATTAAGTTTAACACAATCTTCCACCTCTGGGTTGAGCATCTATCCCCCCCAAATGCTTTCCCTACCCTCGACACTGAAGCTCATTGCCTTTCTAGTCTTCTTTCTTTGTCCTGGCCACCTTCATTTTGGCTTGAGCTCTACGCAGCACTTGGGAGAATGACTGCCCTAATCATAATCTTTAAGATCTCTACAGAAAGTGTCTATAACTGGAATTTCCTCATTACTTTAATGTCCTTCTAGTCATAGCTTCATGGGCCTATTATGTGTAAATTAGAAACACATTATTCCACCAGCAAAGCTTTTCTTTCAAATGCATAGGATTTTATAACCTGTCACAATCTATTAAATTCCGAATTGTTTGTACTGAAACTGACTTTTTTCTGTAAGAAGATGTCAAAGGATCTTAATTTCAGCTAATTCTGGCAACCAAAACGAGTCTCCTCTACTTAATAGCTGGCAGTGGTCTCTGCAGTAAAATGCTTCCAGGAACAATTGGAAATTACTAAGATAATAGTGTGTTTCTTTAGATTAGTATCACCTCTGAAATGTGAAGCTTTTGCCAATTCAAAGCTCCTTTGCTGTCTTTCTAAAACTGAATTTCCTGAAAAGTTCTTAAATATTAAGAGGAGTTGATGTAAGTAGACAAGAAGACAGCAAACAGGAAAGCTAATGGACAGACTGTGAGTGACCTGTGGAGAGTTCTAGAATTTCACATGGGCTACTTCCAAATAAGGGAAAACTTGGCAGGCATGAGTTTGGAATTCTCTTTAGTTTGTCGCTCTTTGCAGAGCCAGTACTGTTTTTGCTACTATTGCTTCATGGTCATCAACTGGAATATTTCCAGAGATGATATGTTTTTGGGTGGGAAAAGCATCATGTCCTTCACAACCAGCTCATGAAGTGTGATACAGACTCAGCCCTGGAGTGAAGAGTTTGCCATGAGTCATCTAATCTCTGACTTTGGGTGTTAACTCAAATAGCTAATCCCAGGGAGCTATCGTGGGGCAAACTCAAGACTCTATGCTTAATGCTTGATGAGGAGTAACTAATACGAATAGCCAGGCGGGACAATAAGTGTTCCACGTGCACTAGCTTATGTAAGCCTTCAGAAAACAAAACAAAGCAGAAATAAAAAGGCTTATTATTATTATTCCCATCTCACAGAGGGCAACAGTAAGTCTAAAAAGGGCAAGTTAAGATTTGAACTCAGATCACCCTTCAACGTTTTTGTTTTGGAAAAGATCCTCGATTTCTCCAGGATGGGATGACGGGGATCACAAAAGAGCTCCAGATACCGGAACTTTCTTGTTGGTGCTTGTAGGTCTCCTTACCTTTGTGTTTTGCCACCAAGCATTTATTGTCCGTTAAGTCGGGGAGTCTCTGGTGTGAAGATGCTCTTAAAGCAGGAGAGGCACCGTATGCAAAACAGACACATTATAGACAGATTCTCGAGGCATTCCAAATGACTGGTCAATTCAGTCAGTTTAGGATTGAACAGTTCAAACTGACCGGGTGTCTTCGCGTTGTGCCAGTGAGGTTTCAGACAGAGAATCAGTCAATATCTGTGAACGCATCATCCCCACGGCTTGGCCCTGTGTACACCAACTAATTGTTGGATGTTTTGCACTTTTCTCTCATTTGTTTTTACACGATATGATTTTCCTTTGCTTAATTTTTCTCTTTCTGTTTGATAAGTCCTGCCTGAACAATTCTGAGCTTCTCGTTAGAACAATTTTTACCAATTATGCTCATGGCAATGCCAAATGTGGGTGTGCTTAATTTAAGTATTAATAGTGAAAATAATTATATTTCACCCAAAATAGTAGCATATGTTTACCATGTTTCATGGGCTATAATCCTTTTATCGGCTTTTCTCAGACTGTGGTTTTCAATAAAATTCATTTTCAATAATAAAATTCCCCAAAATGAAATTCTTTATTTTATATTGACCTGAGACACCTGGGCAACACGTCCCTTAGAAGAGATGTAATTTGAATGTATTACACTTGAACGGAGCTGTCTTTTAGGCAGGCGACCTTTGGGTTGCAATGAATAAAACTTCACTCAAACTAGTTGAAAAACAAAATGTACTTTTTCAGGGAAGTGAAAGATTTGCCAATTAATCAGAAAGTCAGTTAATCAGAACATCCTTTCACAAAGTTCTAGCCTATCAAATTTTGTTTTTCCATTTGTCCATTCATCGATTTATCCATTCCATTAAGATCGACTGAGCCTCTACAACAAACCAGGTACTGGGGACACATGGACAGGGGCTCCACGATCCTTGCACTCAGGGAGTCTTGTCGCCCCTCCCTTAATGCTCCTTCCTTCTCAGCATTTCTGTGTGTGTGCTATCGAAGAGTTTCTAGAACTGATGCAAAAGATAGAAGCGGGGGGGGGGGGGGGCGGAGGAGAAGCTGTAAAATGGAAGAGATCACTCATTCTTAAATCTATTAAAGATTAACGTTGGAAATCCAATGTTAAGATGAGAATATATTTCTGTGGAATGCACAGCTTATTAACTTAAGAACCAAGAGATTTCAAAGCTTAAAAAAAACTGAGTTCGGTAGTCACTGAGACAGACCTAATCATTTTCTTCGAATGATACTTGCAGCTCTAATAGAAGAAATCTCCGAACGTACCTGTTGTTGTTAGCTCTTTTTTCCTGTCCAGCTGTGTGACATCCTCACAACCAACCAGAGGGCGGGTAAAAGTCCAGATTTGTGGGTTCCGTCCCCAGTTTCTGATTCCTGAGGTCCAGGAGGGAACCTGAGAATTTCCATTTGTAGCAAGTTCCTGGGTCATGCTGATGTTGCTGGTCCAAGGACCACATTTTAAGAAAGGTTGTTGTAAATAAATGTTACTCAAAGTGCCAACTGCAGATGAGAACTGTTCATTACCAGTCTGTGACAAGAAAAGTACAGAAACTGAGAGGAAGCAGTGGGAATCTTCTATAATTTGACATTGCCGTGACATCCAAGTGCATGATCAGTGGGCATATGTCACTGAATAGCTGAGCTCAGGGCTGTCAGACTTGCATTGTGAGTCACATGTGGTATAACATACATGCTAGATATATACAGGGAGCCCACATTTTATCCTGTAACAGACTGGAAGTAAAAACACAGGTTGTTCACCATACACAGTTTGAGAAGCACCACTCTCTAAACCATCATGCTATATACTGCCTCAGGGTCATCCCCAAAATAGTTTCGGGCAGGTAGGAGGAAGACAAGGCCATGTCTTGGCCTGATGCCCTCTGCCTGGGAAGGCCCAGAGGAAACAGACAAGGCTGTACAGATGGGCCCTGGGTGTGACACCACACATCCATGGAGTGGGTCAGCCCAGTGGCCACAGAGATTGTGCTTTTTTGAGGCTGGAGGCCTGGAAAAAGAAACTGACCAGTCAGAATTTAGGATGCCCAACCTCTGCAAGGGTCAAACCATGTACCAGGAAGGTTGGATGCTTCCCAATGAAATCAATATGGGCCCCTCAATTGCAGGCAGCCAAGATTTGAGACTCGGTGCAGGCAACTCTTAACTGTTCCAGAGTCACCTGATCTCAGGTCTGGGAAATTGACTTAATACCTGGGCAGAGAAGCTTGGGCATGACTAAATCTGCAGGTGGAGACCAAGAGCAATTGCCATCATGGGTGCACCCTAGCCCAGGAAAGGGGAAGGCAAAAAATCATCCTTTTATCTCAGCTACTTGGGCTGGCATTTTCTTTTACCACTTCAAACATTTTTATTAAAATTTCCAATCATCTGATTTCTGTCAGGATTCAGCTGTTCTTAGCCTTAAATTCTAGGATCCTCTTGGGCTGGCTAGAAGGAAAGCCATGTGATGGGGCCTCCATGATTTCAAGGCTTGATGAATGTGCCTCAAATTGGCTTTGCTAACTGTCTTTTCAAATGGATCTCCTGATAGCTCTATGATTTTACCAGCAGTGATTTATTTTTTAATATTTTGCACTTCAAGCTCTGATAAATTCAGTATTCTTTCTAAGCACTTGTACAAATTAGATTGTAGTTAGAGGAGGCTAACATTTCTACATGTTCAATACGTCAAGGCCTCATAAGCAGGCATTGCAGCTGTCTGTTTGCTTTTCTAGTCCCCACTGAAGTCTGCTCTTCTCTAAAACCTGCCTCGGCTGGAGTCACCCCGAGAAGAGGTTTTCATTACCTTGTATCCACAAATAGCCATCAGCTTTGCTCTGTGGCCTCCAGCCACCCATTTGAAAGAGTGACCTTACATGCCCAGCGGCTACCTCCCAGGGCTTTAGCCTTCCAGTAGGAAAACTAACTGCCCCAGAAATGCTGTAGACTGGCTGAGACACAGCGATACTACCAGACTTCCGGTAAAGATAGGAGTTTCGAGATGATGAGCTAGAGAAACAGAAAAGAGGGTAACACAGATAGTATACACTGGTGATGGGTCAGACCTGGGTTTGATTCTTGCCATATCATTTAGACTGCTTCTGAGCAGAAAGTAATAGAAAAACTACGTCAAACTAGTTTAACAGCAAAGGAAATTTAGTGGCTTATATTGGTCCAGAGGCAGAGCAGGCTTCTGAGTTGACTGGTCCAGGGGCTCAAGGACATCACTGGCTCTTCTCTCCGCTCTACTGTTTCAGCTTCATCCTCAGACTGATTCCCTAAGTTCCCTCAAGGATGCAAGACTGGCTGAGGATTGTAATTGGGTTTCCTCATGAGGGGCCAGCAAGGGAAGGAGAGGGAGAACTGTCTCTCACAACCAGTGAAAGAAAAGTCAGTCACTTAAATATGATTGGCAAGGAGAATGCCCTGCACTGATTGGCTACATTCTGGTTTATTTGAGCCAATCACTGTCCAAAAAGGCTAAGACTTCCAGAATTGGCTTAAACCAATTAGAGTCATTCATTGGAGTTAGGGGTGGAGCTAATGGCTGAAAACCCAAGGGGAGGAGGGAATGGCAGGTGGGGGCCAACCAGCATTGCTCATGATGCTGGCTCTGTCACGCTCATCCCCTTGACCTCCTCATTCAACCTCTCTGAGCCTCGCTTTCCTCATCTGTAAATTGAAGATTACCTTGATACCCACTTCCCTGGTTCTGATAGGGATTAGGAAAGAGATAAGAACAGTAAGGAGCTTTGCACTGTGCCTGGCACACCATAAGTGCCCGGTGAAAATTAAGAGGCAGATCGCCGGAAGTAGGTACCCGCTGTATTTAGACATTACATGCTTTCTTAGGCTTGTTTCCAATAGCTCTTCCCCCTTAGTGGATGCAAGTGAAATGGCCATAAATGGACAGCAAAGACTGTTTAGAGAGACAATTTTATGCTGATTTATCCAGATATTATTTAGGTGGGGGGGGGGGGGGGCAAACAAACCTCAAACCAGGCAGTTCTATTACATTCAAAGAGTATCTCTGGGTAGTGAGTTTAAGAATAATAATAATAATGATAATAATAATAATAATAATAATATTAAAACAAGGAAAGTGAAAGGAAGAAAAAAATGAAAATGATGATAGAAGGGGAGTAGCTACAATTCATTAGGCACTGTTGGGTGTTATACTGGGCACTTTACAGGAGTTGTGAGCCGTTGGTGTTGGTTTTATTATATCTATTTGTACGTAAGAAACAGAAATTTATCTAAACTAAGGAGTTTGCCCGAATTCAATAGCCTTTAAGTGGCAAAACCTGGATGGGAACCCAAATTACTATGACTCCAAAGTTCATTTCATGTCTTCATTTCAAAACTACTTGCAAAGGAGGGTGCCCCCATTCATTCATTCACTCATTCATTCATTCCCTCACTCAGGCTCCTAGCAGCTGGCCCTGGAGCCCCTGCCAGGATTGGTGTTGGGGAAAAGAAAGGTGAATAGGACACAGCAGTGCCCTCAAGAACCAGACAGCGTCCACGTCCTGGGATTCCTGGTTTTCCGAGGAGTTCCCAGGACAAGGTTGTATGGAGCAGGGTTTCGCACTCTTTCTCAGTCAAATGAGAACTATTGAATCACTAATGATGACGGAGGCACAGCGTGCTCCATAGCCTGCAAGACACAGGGGGCTGCCCTCTCCCCCCAGCTCCCTCTGCCATCTGCTCTCCTCGGTGAGACAGTTTGATCTTGAGCTATCTCAGGGCGAAGGAGGTCGGACCGTCAGAGGTCACCTTAACTCCCCATAACTCTGCTCCAAAGAAATAATTGTTTCAGAGGAAAATGGCTGTGACCAGTCAGATTCTTCTTTATTCAGAATCTAGACTAGATGAAGAGAATGGGTCTTGGGGATTTATATTGTTGACTCTGTTCAATTCACCCAACTGTGTTGAGATGGCCTGTGTGCTGGGGATATGCAAATCAGTGGGTATCACAGTGCCTCTGGCCTCTGGGGTCCCCAAGCTAGCAGAGCAAACACAGGCACATAGAAAGGAATATGTATGAGAATAGAATTGTCTAGTATGCCTCTCAGGATGGCCAAACAAGTTGTTAAAATTTCAGCAACTAACTCCAGGCAGGTAAACACATGCTGTCCTCACTGCCCACCCACTTGCCCCACAGAATCCATCTTCTGTCTTTTCTGTCCTGAACCCACCTCAAGGACCTGCTTCCCACCCAGTGGCCCCAACTTCCCCATGATCCCTAAACAGGGGCCTCCAAACCCCTGCCCCAGCACTGCAGTGGTCCTCTGTTTTGTTTGGTCTGCATCTGAACATAGCAGTTGCTAAATGTTTTGACGGTCATCTCTGAATAAAGACACATACCATGTGCTTCCTGGAGTCCAGGGATGGGGAAGAAAAGTTGGGACCAGTGGAAGGGAGAACGCCCCCAAGAGCACACATGCGTGGAACATCTGTTGTGTACTCAGATCTCTGGCCCGCACTTTGAGCCATGCTCCCCAGAGCTTCCCAAAGTCTTCTTGCTTTACCCGCATCCTGCAGTCATCCTGCTTTGTGTCCCAAGGCCACTGCTTACTGCTAAAGTCAGCCAAAAGGAGCAGATATGGGTCAGAAATATAGGGCTCCCACAAATTGAGGTCTGCTTCCTGGGAATCGGCTTCAGTGTCCTCTGAACTTTTACTTTGGTTTTTGTAGGAATAAAGGACTCAACAACCAGATGGCTGGATCTTTTTATCTGATGATTGGAACTCTACCCATTAGGATGCTTTTGGCTACCAGTAAAAGGAAAAAAAAAAAAATCAAACTCGCTGAAACAAATGGGAAAATTCAAAGGAAACACACTATGGATCCCAAGCATGGCTCTGTCTCGGTGTCTGAGCGATCCGGGTGACCTTGGTGTCTGTTCTCTGCCGTCCTCAGTTACCTTCAGCCTCAGGTAGGCCTCCTCCATTGTTGCAAGATGGTGGGCAGCAAGAAAAATCAGAAAAAGGTTGTATGTTCTAGTGTTTCTGTCCTCCAGAAAAAGGAAATCTTTCCCCACAGCCCTCCAGGTGGCTCAGCCTTCTACCTCACCATCAGAAATGGGTCACGCATTCACTCCTGGCCAATGGCCAATGGAGGAATCGCAGCCACCATTGCTGGCTTTTTCAACTGAGATTCCCAAATCCTTTGCCAGCAATCAGGAATGTCTGCTACTCGAACCTACGGGAAAGAGAAAAGTGGAATTGGAGAAGATGATGTTAGTGAGTAAAATGTGGAACATGGGAGTGTGTCACTAGAAATCAGAAGTTAAAAGACAAAGGATTTTGGAGTAAAGAAACTTGGTTTGGAATGCTAGCATCACTTACGTCATTGTTTTCATTGCTAGTTACTATGTGACAATCACCCCCTACACTTGGTGGATTAAAACAAGTACCATTTATTTTTGCTCGCTGATCAGCAGATCAGCTTGGTGGTTCTGCTAATCTGGGCCAGGCTCAGCTCATCTGGACCCTTTCAAGCATCTTCAGGAGGCTGGCTGGTATGGGATGGTCTCTGCTGGGGCAGCTCATCTTTGTTTCACGTGGCCCCTCATCCTCCAGCAGGCTGGGCTGGGCTGGGCTGGGCTGGGCTGCTGTGTGCCGACCGTGTGCCCGACTTCCAGGAGAAAGAGTGGAAGTGTGGTGGGGTCTTGGCCAGAAGCAAGCCATGAAACCAGTCAAAAGCTGCAAAGTCACATTGCAGAGTGTGGATCCTGGAAAGAGTGAAGAACGGTAATCACTTTGGCAATCAATCTACCACCATGACCTTTGTAAGACATTTCTTTTCCCTGCACCACCATTTCATCACCTCTAAAATGACAGTAATAATAGTATCGACCTCAAAGTCTTACTTGAGGACTAAGTGAGAAAATGCATGTAAAGTGCTTAACACAGTGGTGGGCACATAGTAAGCATTAAATAAGTACTAGCTTTTATTACGCTTGTAACTAGTCTTATTATCATTATTATTACAGTTGTTTTAATGATTATTATGATTTGGAGTATCTGTGTGCTGGGTTATGACTCCCCCTAGGATACAAACCTAGTGAACTAGCTTCCAAAAAGCCCAGACTTTATGGAAATCCTAGCCGGCTCCCCAGAAGCCTGCTATCAAAGGAGGGTGATTTCTGAAAGCTCCCCATCTGCCTTCCTCCCGCTTGCTGCTTGTCGAGTGCTGTTCTCTCTGGGTTTTTGCTGTGCTGGCTGCTTGGAGCTCCCTGAGCTCTATGCCTCACTTGGAACCCTCCAAGGAACGGTGGTTAGCTGCTATTTCAACAGAAACCATAGTTTTGGCCAGCCTGCCTCCTGGAGAAAGTGAAGCCTGGAGCAGGCTTCACCCCCGGGACAGCAGATTTTCTGCTCTGTTCCGCTGTTCTGTCTGTGCCCAGTGCCAAACTCTCTAGAGGCGATAACGTGGTTCACGGTGCCCAGAGTGGGCTGTGAGTGAAGGAAGGAGAAACCTCCCAGCCTCATCTCACATTTACTCCAACCCAAGCCTCCAAGAATTAAAACCAGTTGGCCATCTCTTGGAAAAGAGAATTTGTCTCTTAAATCTTCAAAGGAGAAAAGTTTTTTGTTTTATGTTTTTAGAGGTTTTTTTGTTTGCTTGCTTTTTATAGTTGTTTTGTTCATGAGGAAAAAAACCCAAAAAACCCCAGTGACGGTCCTGGCGTCTATACCCCATGCAGATTCTGAAAGTACCAAGGAGGAAAGGCACAGGGCTCGTTCCACTAGGCAGCCTGCTAATTTCATTTGCCACCACGGTTTTCCCATCTGCTAAGGGACCAGCCCAGACAATTTTCCATGTATAATTCACAGTCCTTTGTAATTGAAGCTCAAACAGAATCAACAGCTTGATCAAAACGCCATGGCGAGGATTCAAAGGGCGGCACTCCCATTTTCTGTCCTTGCTCCAAGCAAAGCCAGTGCTGGCCCTTCCATGCGTGCACTTTCTCTCTGTCTTGCTCTCTGTGTCTCTGCTTCTCTCTCCCTACCTTGTTCCACAGCCTGCCCGGTTTCTCCCTACCCTTCCCCTTTATGGGGCACTCCATTTCTACCTCACAAATGTACTGCCTCTGCGACCATTGTCAGAGCTCCACCAGCTAATTGTGGCCCCCACCCCCATGTCATCTGGCCATGGCCAAGATGGATGGATGCTCAATCTGCATTATTTATGTCTCTCCTTTGTGTTGGTGATGTGCTTTTGCATAACATATGTAAACTTCTGCTGACACTGGGAATTCATTTGGTTGGAGGTGCTCAAAAAGAGGGGCAGGAGGCGACCTGGTTTGTGTAAATTCACAAGCTATCCGACAGCCTTTGCTTTGTCTCCCTGAGAATTGGAAGATGGCTTCTCGTGAGAGTTCTTTGAATTACACTTGACAGTCAGGTGAGCTCTTTTGCTTAAAGAGCTTTGGCTCCGTCTGGGCTATAGGTCTTCTGCCTTCAAATGGGCAGGGCAAGGGACCAAGGCCCATCTGAAAGTTCAGATGCAAGCCTGTCCCTGCATTGCAACTCCAGCCAGAGATTATCAGAGCGAGGAGGCCTTAGAGCATCTGATTTAATCTCGTCATTTTGTAGAGAGAGAGAAACTGAGCCTCAGAAACATGAAATGGCTCGCCAAGGGACTAGTCTTGGTATGTCATGATATTCAGTCCTTAAATTCCTTCCAATAAGACCACATTGGTAAAAGGGGGCAGGCACCCTTCTAAGCACTTTACACATTGTCTCATTTAATCCCCATGAAAGACTCATACACCAGGACTTGTTTCTATCATTCTCACTTCATAGCTGAGGAAACGGAGGCACAGAGAGGTTAAGTAACATGTCCAAGATCACACAGTACTAAGCAGCGGGCCTAGGACTCAAACCCAGTTAGCCTGGCTCACGAGTCCCTGAAATGCTCACTGTCCTAAAGCCTCTTTGAGCTACCTCGATGATTACAGAAGACTGCCCAAGCTCCACACTTTGCAACATAAGGCCTGATCTGGTCCTGCCCCTCCTGACCTTCTCAGCTTCATTTCTGCTACTCCTCGGCATGTAGCCCCGTATTGGGAAAAGCAGTCTTATGCGTGTTGTTTTTTTGTGACTTAAAATAACACAGACTGCAGTGTTACCATAGTAAGAAGCGATAGTGATTTCGCTAAGGAAACTCCAAGGAGATAGTCCTTAAGTAGTACATATGATATATATTTCATATGCAAAATTCTGATGCACTTATACATCATGTCATGGGATGGATTCAGAAGCCGTAAGTGATAACTCTGTTCTGTATGCCAGTTGTTTCCAAATGTCAGTTCGTAACAAAGCTTTCGTGGACCCAGAAAAATAAGGGCAAGAACGTAATGTGTGTGTAAAATGTGTGTGCGTGTGATTATCAATTTGTAAATGTCCTTTCTTGGGAAGCAATGTCACTTATTCAAAGACTGTAGGCTCTTGTTCTTAAAATTATCAAAGGCAAGAGGAAAGGGCAAGAAATGTTCTTTTGTAAAATAACAGTGTGTGTCATATCAGGAAAATCTTGGGATGTTGTATTTCAAATTTCTTCATTTTTTGATATCTTATTAGATTCTCGGTTTATTTATTTTACTTAACTCATTCAAAAACTTAAGCAACTTCTAGGTCACCTCACCGAGATGATCCATGCCCTAAACTTTTCAATCCAAAGTATCTTCTCAGAGCTAGTGGGGCTCAACCCTATTCAAAGTACAGAGCAGGGGTGCCTGGGTGGCTCAGTCAGCGTCTGACTTTTGATTTCGGCTCAGGTCATGATCTCATGGTCCATGGGTTGAAGCCGTGAGTGGGGTTCTGTGCTAACAGTGCAGAGCCTGCTTGGGATTCTGTCTCTCCCTCTTTCTCTGCCTCTCTCTCCTCTCCCTCTCTCAAAAACAAATAAATTTTAATAATAACAAAAAATAGAAGTACAGAGCACACCTCTGTCTCTTGGTGGCCTTTTCTTCAGAGCCCTGCCTCCATTCAGGCTCTCATGCTCTGATACAGCCCATGATGGGCCCGTTCTGACATGGCCTTTCAGCAAGTGGCCTGTGGCCGAAATTACCCTCTGCTTTTCCACTCCTCTGGCCCTGGGCCTCACCTCCTAGTGGGAGACAAGGTATAGGCAGCTGGGAGATTTCACTGCAATACATTTTTGCGGGCTTTGGCATTCTAACACAGGATGCTTATTGCTCCAAAGGGTAATTTCCTCTTGTGGAATTTTAGGCAGTGAAGCCAACTGTGGCAAAAAGTTCCAAGCAACACTGGAGAGCTAGTCTTGAGCACTTCAAATTAAAACCCTCAGGGGGCCCTCCTGAATGGCTGTCCTTGATCCAACCCGGCTGCTAGAAACAACAGAACAGTAGCCTACTGATGCGCCAGGAGACAGCCCTTAGACATCGGAATCATTCAAATGCTTTTGGAGGAAATGGGTGGAAGAACTAATGATCGTGTACTGGTCTAACCACAGATTTCCTGTCTCCCTTTCTCTCTCTCACCCCCTGTAGACCTCCATCTCCCCTTCCACTCTTCATTCTCTGTCTTCGCTTACTACAGAACATTTTACCCAAATAGATGAAAAATGTGTGTAGTTTGCATATCCACACATTGATACTCTCTGTAGGTTCTATGATCTCTTGTGCAGTTTGGGAATGAATTTTGAAAGTCTTACAAAGAAGAACTAGCAGGAGCGCCTGGGTGGCTCAATTGGTTAAGGATCTGACTTCGGCTCAGGTCATGATCTCACAGTTTGTGAGTTCAAGCCCCACATCAGGCCCTGTGCTAACAGCTCAGAGCCTGGAGCCTGCTTTGGATTCTGTGTCTTCCACTCTCTCTGTCCCTCCCCTGCTCATACTCTCTCTCTCTCTCAAAAATAAATAAACATTAAAATTTAAAAACAAAAAAACAAGAACTAGCAGATCAAGACTCTCAACTAAGAACACAACAAACCGTATTAAAATAGTAATCTTCAAATTTTCTCTTGAAAACTTAGAGAATGGCCGCTAGAGGCCCAAAGAGGAGAAAGTATGTGTGGAGGAAGGGATACGTAGGAAAGAACCAAAGAATATGGCTTATGGAACCCATAGAGTATCTATCAAGTTATGGTTCAGGAAATGTTTTTGCTTTTCTTACAGCATTCAGTGATGTGACCTGAGAGAATTAATGCTTGTGTTGGGAGATGTAGGATGTGACATGTCTGAAACTCAAGCTGTTGAGGAGATTCTAGTAGACAGGCCCATGCTCACCCCAGATATGTTTTCTGTACCACTCCATCCCACTGCAGGACCCTTCTGTGGACTTTGGGATGGCAATCCCACCATTCATTATATTACTAAAGGTCTCCTTCTGCTTCATTACTTCTCAGGCTTGAAGTAGACTGAAGGATCCTACCTCCATCCCACTTCTGTAGTTGATCAGGAGGCCTTACTAGGCAACCACAGCTGCCTTCCTCCATCACTCTTTCCATGGTCCCCTTACTCTCTGCCAGCAACTCAGCTGAATAGGTTTTTTTTTATCTATGGGATGACCAAACTTTCAATCAAATGATCTTAGTGCTTCTTGGCCTTGCCTTTAATGGCTTGCCTCAGCTTCCCGTTACCATGGATCATCTAGTTAAATCCTATCTGACATCATCATCTTCATTTGGTATGAAGATGTTCGTTTACCCATCCCCGTAGCTTGGGTAGAAAGGCAGATACAGACTGAAATGTAAAACCTTAAG